GGAAAGAGGTCTTGAAATCAGGCACTCTTCGTATTAAGGTCACTCTAGTTATCAGACACAAGGCACTTACATTGCAAATCAGGTGCTCCGGGTTTCCTACTTATTTCTTTCCCACTTTTTTTAAAGATCCTTGTCTTCCACAAGACTATGAACCTTATTTTCTTATATATAGCTTTACTACATATCAACATCAAGCAGTTGATTTCACAGGTGCTTTGCCTACTTTCAGGAAGGAATGTTACAGGACTTATCTGTTCTGGATTACAAGGGGCTTCAAGTAACTATTTCCTGATTCAAGGGTTATAATTTATGTACTCCGCCTAAAAACACAACCATTTGCATGTCTTCTCTGCACATCTATGCAGTACCGGAACTGCTTTATGCATATGAATAAATACATGGTATCTGTGCCTGTAGCTCAGCCTAGCAGCTGTACTTCACTCACAAGTTTTGCTTTAAGGCATATGCACGAACACAATATTCTGAGGTATACCTGCCTCCCCTGCTATCCTGCAGAAAACATGAATATACTCCTCTACAGGTAAAGGGAAACATAGGTATACACTGCCACAGCCACGAAAAGGTCTCAGCATTATGAAAAGGAAAACGTGCAATACCTTCAACTAACATGGCCAAATGTGTTTTCTCAAGTAAGGAGAGACTGATGACAGATTTCATTCCTGTGCACTGAATTGGCTCTTTTCGAAAACTTGCAGCAGGCCAAGTTCTCCCACAGCAGCAGATTCCAACAGTGGAAAAAACAGTCTCAGGGCACCTCCCCTTTCCTTGCTCACAAAGAGCTAATGAAGAGCCCATCTCCCATTAACGGAAACCAGGAGATACTTCGCCATTTGCATTTAAAAAGAATGGGATCAAATACTGAAGCAAATACACTTTAGGAGTATTAGCACTCATGTGAGTTATAGCCATTGCGGTCTGCATGAAATGGCACTGCTGATAAGAACCCAAGTCACAGTACCAGCTCTTTGTTAATTAGAAAGTCAATGAAGAAGCATCTGATTGAGCTGCCAACTATAACAAATTCATTCCCGCCAGGATGAAGGAGAAGAGTTTGGGCTCATCCTGCAGTGCCACAGTGACATCTGGAGGAAGAGCCAAGAATATGCTTATGGGGGAGGATCCTCACACAGCAGATTCACACCTTGGAACTTTCTGAAGTCACAGAAAACAAACATAGAGCCAGATCTTCTAATTATTTACCTGATCTAATAAGCCTCCTCTTTCCAGCTACCACAGTCGGGAATGCAGTCCTGCCAAATCCTGCTCCCATCGGTCAGCCCTGCTAGAAATGGGGAAAATAGGAAAAACAGAAGTTAAATAAATGCCTCAAAACATTAACAATGTTGTGACTCAATTCCTTTTTTAGGTTTCAGGGTTGAACTTTTTTTTTTTTTTTTTTTTTTTTTATCTCCCTCGAATTTCGTTCTAAGTATTTAAAGAAATTTTTTGTTTGGATAATTTTTCTTTTAAGCCTTTTTTTTTTCCTTGAAGAGAAGGAAAAGCATAATGAAGTAGCATAAAAATTACTGAATAAGAGAACTGATACTGGTTAATTACTTTAAATAAGTTTACTGCCCTTTATCTAATTTTTTCTTAAATTACAGTTGAGAAAATTACAATCATATATTTCAGGGACTCAAACAGGGTCTTAGACACATTAAAAAAACAGAAATGCTTTGTTTATATTGTTTAACTATCAGAATTTAACTCAGCAAGGAGAGTAAGAGCTGTCCAGAAGCAATATATAAGTTAAAACTAACTCATAATCTCTTCGTATTCCCCTTTGTAAAAAAGACTTCCCTACATTTGTCTGTACAGGTGATTTTGGTGTCAGTGGAAAGGCATAACACCTCTCACACACATTTATCTTCATCCCCAGTCAAGCTTACCTGCCAGTAAAATTAGGCATACAGCACAGGAATTAGGGCATGCTACCAAGTTACTGAAGGAGGTCAATTTAGTTCAAAACTGTCTTGCCCAGATGGCTAATTTCAATCATTTACGCATACAACACAATTGTTCAATAAGCTCAAAACAAATACTGGAAGTAATTAATTTAAAGCTGCCCTAATTGTTCCTCAATTTTCCCTAGCAGTTAAACCTCTAACAGTTCTTCTGTCTATGCTTCAAAGCTTTAACTTAACAGCCTTTTAAAGCTTCTTTTAAGGAAATGGTGTCTTCTTTGACTGCTTCTGACTGAACCCTTTCAAATACTTGAAATTTAATTTTAATTGCACAGGGCTTGGAAACAGTGTTTTCTCCCAGTATGATGTTCTCAGTGTGTTAATGATTCAATGGACAATTCAGACTAATTCAAGTGTTAGCTTGGCATGAGCTTCTTTAGAAGCATTTGGCTTAACAGAAGTGACTCAGCACTCAGGTGAATAATAAATGTCCTCATTTACCAGAGAGACCTGGCAAAAACAGTGTTTCCCCAGCTCAGTTTCACAACTGTAGTGACTGGCTTCCCAGAATTGTCAGGATTTGTTCACCTGAACTAGCGTGGCAGCTATATTCATCCTCCTTTAAAATGCGTGTGTGCGTGCACAAACACGTATTCTCTCTCCAATCCCTGCCACAAGCTGCCAAGAGAAGAGCCAGCACTAAGGGTACCGTCACCGTGACGAAATCGTGCTTGTTCGCTAGGTCCCAGCAGCAGCCTCCTTCCGAGGTTCTAGCTTCCAAGAGCAACGTGTAGCAAATCAGGACACTTCCCTATTTCGAGCATAGCTAATACAGATCAACCAGAACGGAAGCCACAAGCCTAGACAAGTTTAAAAAAAGAAAGAAAAATAGTGGAAAGCATGCCGCCAAAGATTAAAAGTAAAAAATAAAGACATCTCCATTCCCAGTCAGGACAGCAAGTTATTTTAAGCCAAAACATTTTCATGAAGTAGGAAGAAAACAATTTATATGAATTAATGAAGTAAAAACTCTAAAAACAGAAATGTCTAGGGACGCTAGTCTTTTCAGGGAGAAACACTGGACAACTAATCCCCACCATTCCATTAAAAAAAAAAAGAAAGAAAGAAAGAAAGACAGTTGTCCAGTAAATTAAGTAGTCATTAACAACAACTTAGGGAGAAAGGGAGATGGGGGGTAGGGGAACACGGAAAGAACAAAAGAAGCCATATGGAAAGGAAGAAACTAAGAAAAATGAACTAGTTAGTTGTATGCTTAAGAAACATAGAAAGGTGAGAACATGAGAGAGTTACTTAAAGCTATTTTGCTGAATTACTTCTGTGAACACATTTCCTCTGGATACTTCTCCAAAATCCTGAGATATACACAAGAGAAAAATGCACCCAGAGCACAAAACAGCTTTACAGAAGAAATAATGTAAGCCGGGTCTACAGACAAGAGAAACAAAGTTTCAAGGCATTCATATAAAGCTTCTGTAATGGGAAATCCTCTCACGCTTGACACTTGTCACAGCTTTTTAGTGAAGTGCTGGCACATTTTGTTTGAAGGAGACAAATTCCTTTTCAGAACACTGTATAATAACTTGCTGGAGAGAAGGGCAGGTGAATTAGCACCAATTACTCTTCCAAACATTGGTTTTCACCTTCGAAAATGAAGCCAGACATAGAGACAGGGATTCAGCTGAAATCAGCAGAATAACTTTTCCTCCATTTTGTGCAGCAGCTGAAAACTGACCCATAACTTCTTTTTTTTTCCCCCACTTCGGCAAAGCAGACCCTTCAAAAGAATCCTCTTCATCAAAAATACTTTTTTTTTTGTGCTTCAGGATACACAGGAAAGAAGAAAATCAGTATCCCCATTAACTAGAACGTGCTCTTACAAGATGCAACTAAGATTCCCACAACAATAAGAACTCTTAGTATTTTTTTGACTTAATGTTTCTAAGTTTAAACCCACACCTTAAGAAGGCTTGCAATGTTCAGGTCTACTAAAACAGAGTACTGCTTTTCACTTTAAAAGCAAAACAGAGTTCCCCATTAGTTTCTCAGGAAGGCTTGGGGAAAGTTATTTAAAAAGATCTCCAAATTGACAATAACACATTCCTCCAACATACAACATGTTACAGGAAGTACAGTTGGAAATTAGCTCCACCCGAGCTTATTGCTAAGGAGCCCAGTAGATTTCTGAAGTACTTCATTCCCCCTTGAACACTGACAGGCAGCACATGCACAAGCCCAGGACTAGTGCTGCACCCCATAAGGAAAACCCCACTCAGAAACCGGTCTTGATATAGCCAGGTCCCATTTAAAAAA